CCCAGGGCTGCCAGGCTCCCAGCCACTGCCAGCAGCTCCCTCGTTCACAGCCCTGCTGTCGTGCTCTCCCCAGGTGTGGTTTCAGAACCGACGAGCGAAATGGCGCAAGCGGGAGAGGTTTGGCCAGATGCAGCAGGTTCGGACCCACTTTTCCACTGCCTATGAGCTGCCCCTGCTCACCCGTGCCGAGAACTACGCCCAGGTGAGTTCACTCCTCTGTCCAAGCTCATCTGTCCCAGTGCCTGCTGGACACACTGCCTCTGGTCCTAGTCTCCCCCCCGAGTCATGCTGCCCTTCTCGGGTTCATCCACCTGCCCTCAGGCACTGAAGGCTGGCAGTTTTTTAGCTGAGTGTCCTGCCTGGCTCCCCCATGCCCTGGCCTGGAGCAGCTCTCTCTAAGCCCAGCCTTGTGTGACACAGTGCAGCACAGCTCATCCTGCCCAGCACATCCTTTCACACTGTCCTTCTCCCATCACTGCTGCTGCTGCTCACTAACCTCTCACTGCTTTGAATAAGGTCCAAAAGGCTAATTCATGCCTAAAGAACAGCAGTTTCCAGGAAGGCTTCCTGTTGCCATGACTGGGTTTGCATGAGTCTTGGACATGGTGGTTGAACAAATGTATTTTTCTCCTAGCAAATTCCCACAGTCATCTCCCAGCGATGGGCTGTGGAAGCCACAGCACACTTGGTGACATCTGGAGTTGCTTCCCAAGGGACTTGTAGATTTATGCTCCACAGAAAGGGTGGGAGCAGCCTTGTTGGGGTACCTGGGCTGCTTCTGGGTCCTCTTGAAACCCTGGAAGCAGGTGACACAGCTGCCTTCCTGCCTTAGCTTCCCATCCTGGAAAACCCATCACCACGGCAGCTTCCCAAGCATCGGGCCATGCAATTTCATGCATGTTTCACAACACTGCCTTCAGAGGACACCAGGCAGACAGGCATTTCTTAGCTCAAGGGCTGGATCGTGCCCTTGTGGAGCACTCCCTCCCCCCTGCACTCCTCTTCCCACCACCCCGAATTTGCTCAAGGGTGCAGTTCTGCAGGGATGATGCTCTGAACCAGACTGTCCCCACAGCTCTGCTGGGAGTCCTCCCCCTGGCCATCAGATACCTCCCCAGCCAGTGCTGCACCACTGCTACCCCACAGCCAAGCCAGGAGTGTTTGACCTCTCTCCTGCTTGGCGACTCCCCCAAACTGAACAAGAAGCCCTTATGAAACAGCTGAGAGATGCCAAAGAAGCTTTTCAAGCTGAGGACACTCTCAGCAGCCTTTCCAGCATGCCCTTCTCTTGCCTTTGTAACTTACACTGCTCCCTCCCTCCACACTGCCCTCCTCTCTCAGCACTAGAGAGTGAAAATTCCAAACAGCAACTTGCGGGAAGTAGAAGATCCGAGAGGACCCGAGGGTGAGCAGTGGAGAGGGGCAGTGTGGTGAGGGGCTTTTTGCTCTCTTGCTCCAGCCAGCTGCTCACCTCCTCCCCAGCTTCATCCCGCGTGCCCACGACACCCCTGACGCAACACACCAATTCCCAGCAAATCCTGAACCTCTCTCCCTTCTGCAACATCATTTTAGGAGTGATGCTGCAGGTGGCTCGAGGTGGCTCTGCTGGGCTTTGCTCTGCAGCAGGGAGGGCAATGCTGCCTCGATGGGCTCTGCTGGGGAGTGGGACAGGAAAACTGCCTGTGCTGGGGACGTGGGCAGCTCAGCTCCCACAGGCATGACTGTGTGGTACCAAATAGCCCTTGCCTAGGCAAAGCTACCCCGTGCCGGGGCAGGAGGGTGGAGCAGCAGCCTTGGAGCACTCCTTCCTGCTTGTCCCTCTGTAATGGGTAGGACCACAGAAACACCATGGATGGCACAAGGTTTTCTGTACTGCCAATAGCGCTCACCGTGCAGAAAAAAAAGAGAGAAGTGTCTGGGAGGGGAACAGCCAAAGAGAGAGATGCTATGGCAGAGGAGGGGCACCATCCTGCTCCCTGTGGGTTAGCCTCCTGCGCTCCTTGCCCCGTCTGGGCTGGCAGACAGGTTTTGGAGTGATCTGTTGGCTCTGGAAGGGCTGTGGATGTC